GGTTTGCTGGTAGTGTTAGCCCCACGTTAACAAGTTTGCAACTTAAATTCAGAGTCCTTATACGTGTGGTTAACTGCTTATTCATGTATAAAGTTGAGGTTTGGACTACAGAACCGCTTTCCCTCAAGATAAACACTTCTTGAAGCCTGGGTAGCTCAGTCGGTAGAGCATCAGACTTTTAATCTGAGGGTCCAGGGTTCAAGTCCCTGTTCAGGCGAGGTACCTTCCTTTGGTCAAGTCTTCACATTATAAACTGTGTAGGAGAGTTTAAAGAAAATGTTTCAAGTGGAAGCGTCATATAGAAACAATGGTACAATCCAAGCATTCATTGGATTAAGCTCAATTCATGTAATCACTTTGTCGTGAACCTAGTCTTCGTAATGTTACCCACTATGATGTGTCTAGAGTGCTCACCATCAAGTTGTAATTGTAGTTGTCTGTGACGGGAGTGAAACCCCATTTAATTTCATGGACATGAATCTTTGGATCAAACTATGGTGAAGTTTTCACCCTGACTGCACTCCCTCTGTGTTTGCAGAAAGTGTGCTTAATGCCGTTCTCAACTGTGATGAAGTGTGCATTTGGAAAGTTCCCTATCCTCACTGGTTTGCTGGTAGTGTTAGCCCCACGTTAACAAGTTTGCAACTTAAATTCAGAGTCCTTATACGTGTGGTTAACTGCTTATTCATGTATAAAGTTGAGGTTTGGACTACAGAACCGCTTTTCCTCAAGATAAACACTTCTTGAAGCCTGGGTAGCTCAGTCGGTAGAGCATCAGACTTTTAATCTGAGGGTCCAGGGTTCAAGTCCCTGTTCAGGCGAGGTACCTTCCTTTGGTCAAGTCTTCACATTATAAACTATGTAGGAGAGTTTAAAAATGATGTTTCATGTGGAAGCATCTTATAGAAACAATGGTACAATGGTACAACCCAAGCATTCACTGGATTATGTTGAATCCCTGAAGTCACTTTCTTGTTCTGAGTCTTCGTAATGTTACCAACTGTGATGTGTCTAGAGTGCTCACCATCAAGTTTGTAATTGTAGTTGTCTGTGACGGGAGTGAAACCCCATTTAATTTCATGGACATGAATCTTTGGATCAAACTATGGTGAAGTTTTCATCCTGACTGCACTCCCTCTGTGTTTGCAGAAAGTGTGCTTAATGCCGTTCTCAACTGTGATGAAGTGTGCATTTGGAAAGTTCCCTATCCTCACTGGTTTGCTGGTAGTGTTAGCCCCACGTTAACAAGTTTGCAACTTAAATTCAGAGTCCTTATACGTGTGGTTAACTGCTTATTTATGTATAAAGTTGAGGTTTGGACTGCAGACGCGTTCTTTCTCAAGACAAAAGCTTCTTGAAGCCTGGGTAGCTCAGTCGGTAGAGCATCAGACTTTTAATCTGAGGGTCCAGGGTTCAAGTCCCTGTTCAGGCGAGGTACCTTCCTTTGGTCAAGTCTTCACATTATAAACTGTGTAGGAGAGTTTAAAGAAAATGTTTCAAGTGGAAGCGTCATATAGAAACAATGGTACAATCCAAGCATTCACTGGATTAAGCTCAATTCATGTAATCACTTTGTCGTGAACCTAGTCTTCGTAATGTTACCCACTATGATGTGTCTAGAGTGCTCACCATCAAGTTGTAATTGTAGTTGTCTGTGACGGGAGTGAAACCCCATTTAATTTCATGGACATGAATCTTTGGATCAAACTATGGTGAAGTTTTCACCCTGACTGCACTCCCTCTGTGTTTGCAGAAAGTGTGCTTAATGCCGTTCTCAACTGTGATGAAGTGTGCATTTGGAAAGTTCCCTATCCTCACTGGTTTGCTGGTAGTGTTAGCCCCACGTTAACAAGTTTGCAACTTAAATTCAGAGTCCTTATACGTGTGGTTAACTGCTTATTCATGTATAAAGTTGAGGTTTGGACTACAGAACCGCTTTCCCTCAAGATAAACACTTCTTGAAGCCTGGGTAGCTCAGTCGGTAGAGCATCAGACTTTTAATCTGAGGGTCCAGGGTTCAAGTCCCTGTTCAGGCGAGGTACCTTCCTTTGGTCAAGTCTTCACATTATAAACTATGTAGGAGAGTTTAAAAATGATGTTTCATGTGGAAGCATCTTATAGAAACAATGGTACAATGGTACAACCCAAGCATTCACTGGATTATGTTGAATCCCTGAAGTCACTTTCTTGTTCTGAGTCTTCGTAATGTTACCAACTGTGATGTGTCTAGAGTGCTCACCATCAAGTTTGTAATTGTAGTTGTCTGTGACGGGAGTGAAACCCCATTTAATTTCATGGACATGAATCTTTGGATCAAACTATGGTGAAGTTTTCATCCTGACTGCACTCCCTCTGTGTTTGCAGAAAGTGTGCTTAATGCCGTTCTCAACTGTGATGAAGTGTGCATTTGGAAAGTTCCCTATCCTCACTGATTTGCTGGTAGTGTTAGCCCCACGTTAACAAGTTTGCAACTTAAATTCAGAGTCCTTATATGTGTGGTTAACTGCTTATTTATGTATAAAGTTGAGGTTTGGACTGCAGACGCGTTTTTTCTCAAGACAAACTCTTCTTGAAGCCTGGGTAGCTCAGTCGGTAGAGCATCAGACTTTTAATCTGAGGGTCCAGGGTTCAAGTCCCTGTTCAGGCGAGGTACCTTCCTTTGGTCAAGTCTTCACATTATAAACTGTGTAGGAGAGTTTAAAGAAAATGTTTCAAGTGGAAGCGTCATATAGAAACAATGGTACAATCCAAGCATTCACTGGATTAAGCTCAATTCATGTAATCACTTTGTCATGAACCTAGTCTTCGTAATGTTACCCACTATGATGTGTCTAGAGTGCTCACCATCAAGTTGTAATTGTAGTTGTCTGTGACGGGAGTGAAACCCCATTTAATTTCATGGACATGAATCTTTGGATCAAACTATGGTGAAGTTTTCACCCTGACTGCACTCCCTCTGTGTTTGCAGAAAGTGTGCTTAATGCCGTTCTCAACTGTGATGAAGTGTGCATTTGGAAAGTTCCCTATCCTCACTGGTTTGCTGGTAGTGTTAGCCCCACGTTAACAAGTTTGCAACTTAAATTCAGAGTCCTTATACGTGTGGTTAACTGCTTATTCATGTATAAATTTGAGGTTTGGACTACAGAACCGCTTTTCCTCAAGATAAACACTTCTTGAAGCCTGGGTAGCTCAGTCGGTAGAGCATCAGACTTTTAATCTGAGGGTCCAGGGTTCAAGTCCCTGTTCAGGCGAGGTACCTTCCTTTGGTCAAGTCTTCACATTATAAACTATGTAGGAGAGTTTAAAAATGATGTTTCATGTGGAAGCATCTTATAGAAACAATGGTACAATGGTACAACCCAAGCATTCACTGGATTATGTTGAATCCCTGAAGTCACTTTCTTGTTCTGAGTCTTCATAATGTTACCAACTGTGATGTGTCTAGAGTGCTCACCATCAAGTTTGTAATTGTAGTTGTCTGTGACGGGAGTGAAACCCCATTTAATTTCATGGACATGAATCTTTGGATCAAACTATGGTGAAGTTTTCATCCTGACTGCACTCCCTCTGTGTTTGCAGAAAGTGTGCTTAATGCCGTTCTCAAATGTGATGATGTGTGCATTTGGAAAGTTCCCTATCCTCACTGGTTTGCTGGTAGTGTTATCCCCACGTTAACAAGTTTGCAACTTAAATTCAGAGTCCTTATATGTGTGGTTAACTGCTTATTTATGTATAAAGTTTAGGTTTGGACTGCAGACGCGTTCTTTCTCAAGACGTTTCTTGAAGCCTGGGTAGCTCAGTCGGTAGAGCATCAGACTTTTAATCTGAGGGTCCAGGGTTCAAGTCCCTGTTCAGGGGAGGTACCTTCCTTTGGTCAAGTCTTCACATTATAAACTGTGTAGGAGAGTTTAAAGAAAATGTTTCAAGTGGAAGCGTCATATAGAAACAATGGTACAATCCAAGCATTCACTGGATTAAGCTCAATTCATGTAATCACTTTGTCATGAACCTAGTCTTCGTAATGTTACCCACTATGATGTGTCTAGAGTGCTCACCATCAAGTTGTAATTGTAGTTGTCTGTGACGGGAGTGAAACCCCATTTAATTTCATGGACATGAATCTTTGGATCAAACTATGGTGAAGTTTTCACCCTGACTGCACTCCCTCTGTGTTTGCAGAAAGTGTGCTTAATGCCGTTCTCAACTGTGATGAAGTGTGCATTTGGAAAGTTCCCTATCCTCACTGGTTTGCTGGTAGTGTTAGCCCCACGTTAACAAGTTTGCAACTTAAATTCAGAGTCCTTATACGTGTGGTTAACTGCTTATTCATGTATAAAGTTGAGGTTTGGACTACAGAACCGCTTTTCCTCAAGATAAACACTTCTTGAAGCCTGGGTAGCTCAGTCGGTAGAGCATCAGACTTTTAATCTGAGGGTCCAGGGTTCAAGTCCCTGTTCAGGCGAGGTACCTTCCTTTGGTCAAGTCTTCACATTATAAACTATGTAGGAGAGTTTAAAAATGATGTTTCATGTGGAAGCATCTTATAGAAACAATGGTACAATGGTACAACCCAAGCATTCACTGGATTATGTTGAATCCCTGAAGTCACTTTCTTGTTCTGAGTCTTCGTAATGTTACCAACTGTGATGTGTCTAGAGTGCTCACCATCAAGTTTGTAATTGTAGTTGTCTGTGACGGGAGTGAAACCCCATTTAATTTCATGGACATGAATCTTTGGATCAAACTATGGTGAAGTTTTCACCCTGACTGCACTCCCTCTGTGTTTGCAGAAAGTGTGCTTAATGCCGTTCTCAACTGTGATGAAGTGTGCATTTGGAAAGTTCCCTATCCTCACTGGTTTGCTGGTAGTGTTAGCCCCACGTTAACAAGTTTGCAACTTAAATTCAGAGTCCTTATACGTGTGGTTAACTGCTTATTCATGTATAAAGTTGAGGTTTGGACTACAGAACCGCTTTTCCTCAAGATACACACTTCTTGAATCCTGGGTAGCTCAGTCGGTAGAGCATCAGACTTTTAATCTGAGGGTCCAGGGTTCAATTCCCTGAGGCGAGGTACCTTCCTTTGGTCAAGTCTTCACATTATAAACTATGTAGGAGAGTTTAAAAATGATGTTTCATGTTGAAGCATCTTATAGAAACAATGGTACAATGGTACAACCCAAGCATTCACTGCATTATGTTGAATCCCTGAAGTCACTTTCTTGTTCTGAGTCTTCGTAATGTTACCAACTGTGATGTGTCTAGAGTGCTCACCATCAAGTTTGTAATTGTAGTTGTCTGTGACGGGAGTGAAACCCCATTTAATTTCATGGACATGAATCTTTGGATCAAACTATGGTGAAGTTTTCATCCTGACTGCACTCCCTCTGTGTTTGCAGAAAGTGTGCTTAATGCCGTTCTCAACTGTGATGAAGTGTGCATTTGGAAAGTTCCCTATCCTCACTGGTTTGCTGGTAGTGTTAGCCCCACGTTAACAAGTTTGCAACTTAAATTCAGAGTCCTTATATGTGTGGTTAACTGCTTATTTATGTATAAAGTTGAGGTTTGGACTACAGAAGCGTTTTTTCTCAAGACAAAAGCTTCTTGAAGCCTGGGTAGCTCAGTCGGTAGAGCATCAGACTTTTAATCTGAGGGTCCAGGGTTCAAGTCCCTGTTCAGGCGAGGTACCTTCCTTTGGTCAAGTCTTCACATTATAAACTATGTAGGAGAGTTTAAAAATGATGTTTCATGTTGAAGCATCTTATAGAAACAATGGTACAATGGTACAACCCAAGCATTCACTGCATTATGTTGAATCCCTGAAGTCACTTTCTTGTTCTGAGTCTTCGTAATGTTACCAACTGTGATGTGTCTAGAGTGCTCACCATCAAGTTTGTAATTGTAGTTGTCTGTGACGGGAGTGAAACCCCATTTAATTTCATGGACATGAATCTTTGGATCAAACTATGGTGAAGTTTTCATCCTGACTGCACTCCCTCTGTGTTTGCAGAAAGTGTGCTTAATGCCATTCTCAACTGTGATGAAGTGTGCATTTGGACAGTTCCCTACCCTCACTGGTTTGTTGGTAGTGTTATCCCCACGTTAACAAGTTTGCAACTTAAATTCAAAGTCCTTATACGTGTGGTTAACTGCTTATTCATGTATAAAGTTGAGGTTTGGACCTGAGATGTGTTTTTTCTCAAGAAAAAAGCTTCTTGAAGCCTGGGTAGCTCAGTCGGTAGAGCATCAGACTTTTAATCTGAGGGTCCAGGGTTCAAGTCCCTGTTCAGGCGAGGTACCTTCCTTTGGTTAAGTCTTCACATTATAAACTGTGTAGGAGAGTTTAAAAATGATGTTTCAAGTGGTCGTATCATATAGAAACATTGGTACAATGGTACAACCCAAGCATTCACTGCATTATGTTGAATCCCTGACGTCACTTTCTTGTTCTGATCTTCTAAAAGAAGATGTTTAAAGTGGAATCATCACATAGAAACAATGAAACAATGGTACAATGGTACAACCCAAGCATTCACTGCATTATGTTGAATCCCTGACGTCACTTTCTTGTTCTGATCTTCTAAAAGAAGATGTTTAAAGTGGAATCATCACATAGAAACAATGAAACAATGATACAATCCAAGCATCCACTGGTTTAGGCTGAGTCCACATAACCACTTTGTTGTAAACTGAGTTTTTGTAATGTTACCCACTGTGATGTGTCTTGAGCGCTCACCATCAACTTTGTAATTGTAGTTTTCTGTGACGGGACTGAAACCCAATTTATTTTCATGGATATGAATCTTTGGATCAAACTATGGTAAAGTTTGCACCCTGACTGCATTCCCTCTGTGTTTGCAGAAAGTGTGTTTAATTCTGTTCTCAAATGTGATAAATTGTGTGCTTGGAAAGTTCCCTATCCTCACTGGTTTGCTGGTAGTGTTATCCCCACGTTAACAAGTTTGCAACTTAAATTCAGAGTCCTTATACGTGTGGTTAACTGCTTATTTATGTGTAAAGTTGAGGTTTGGACTGCAGAGCGATTTTACCTCAAGATAATATGCTTTCTGAAGCCTGGGTAGCTCAGTCGGTAGAGCATCAGACTTTTAATCTGAGGGTCCAGGGTTCAAGTCCCTGTTCAGGCGAGGTACCTTCCTTTGGTCAAGTCTTCACATTAAAAACTCTGTAGGGGAATTAAAAGAAGATTTTTCAAGTGGAATCATCATATAGAAACAATGAAACAATGGTACAATCCAAGCATCCACTGGGTTAGGCTCAGTCCACGTTACCACTTTGTTGTAAACTGAGTCTTCGTAATATTACCCACTGTGATGTGTCTAGAGCGCTCACCATCAAGTTTGTAATTGTAGTTGTCTGTGACGTGAGTCAAGCCCCATTTAATTTCATGGACATGAATCTTTGGATCAAAATATGGTGAAGTTTTCACCCTGACTGCACTCCCTCTGTGTTTGCAGAAAGTGTGCTTAATGCTGTTCTCAAATGTGATGAAGTGTGCATTTGGACAGTTCCCTATTCTCACTGGTTTGCTGGTAGTGTTATCACCAAGTTAACAAGTTTTCAACTTAAATTCAGAGTCCTCATACATGTGTTTAAATGCTTATTTATGTGTAAAGTTGAGGTTTGGACTACAGAACCGCTTTTCCTCAAGATACACACTTCTTGAAGCCTGGGTAGCTCAGTCGGTAGAGCATCAGACTTTTAATCTGAGGGTCCAGGGTTCAAGTCCCTGTTCAGGTGAGACACCTTCTTTTGGTCAAGTCTTCACATTATAAACTGTGTAGGAGAGTTTCAAAATGATGTTTCAAGTGGAAGCATCATATAGAAACAATGGTACAATCCAAGCATTCACTGGATTAGGCTCAATCCATGTAACCAATTTGTTGTAAACTGAGTTTTCGTAATGTTACCCACTGTGATGTGTCTAGAGTGCTCACCATCAAGTTGTAATTGTAGTTGTCTGTGACAGGAGTTAAACCCCATTTAATTTCATGGACATGAATCTTTGGATCAAACTATGGTGAAGTTTGCACCCTGACTATACTCTCTTGTGAACTGAGCCCACGTAATGTTATCTACTGTGATGTGTCTAGAGTGCTGCTAAGGGTGGTTGTCTGAGACGGCAGTCAAACCACATTTATTTAAGATAGGAATCTTTGGATCAAACTACGGTGAAGTTTGTATCCTGATCCCAATCAAGTGTGTCACATGAATTAAATAGTGCATTTGGATAGTTCCCTGGTTTCCTGGTTTTGTGTTCATCATGTCAAAAAGTATTTCCTCGAGATGAAAAGTCTATAAAGCCTGGGTAGTTCAGTCAGTATAGAATCAGACATTTAACCTGAGGGTCAAAAATGATTCCCTGATGATCTTCCTCTGTGTTGTAAATAATTTGTTGTGATGTATGTCATCTTCAGTTATGATTCTAACATGGACGACAGCAGGGATAACAAGAAGAACCGTTTCTCCAACACCATGGCGTTCATGGAGGAGTATCTCAACAATGTCCTGAACGATGAACTGCCGTTTCACAATGAGGAGAAAAACAAACTCACATATGAGGTGTGTCCCTGCTCTTCTTCTTTCTCTCTTATTTTACAACTTTCTCCATCCTTCATTGTTCCTATTTTCTCCTGTGATCATTTCTCCTTTTTCTGGTCTCTCCAGGTGGTGAGTTTGGCCAGACATTTGATCTACTTTGGTTTCTACAGTTTCTTTGAGCTGCTAAGACTCACCAGAACCCTATTGGGCATTATTGACTGTAGACCCAATCCTGGACACGCTGGGATATTATTCCATGATGATGGATCAGGTACGCTCTTCTCTGATTATTGTTAATGTATGCATGTTAACATATGCGTAACGTTGCATTCTTCAATGATTGATTGAAATACTGCGGAAAAACCTACTTAAAAGGACATTTTAAGGTTACCACTTTTATTAAAACCACATACATCTAAATTTGCAAATTTTCTCCTCTCACTCACATGGACACAGTGACATTAAGTATAATATAAGTTATATAAAATGATTTAGACAGAAATAAGATTAATTTGAAGTTTTGATAAATTATCCTTCAGTACAATAATACAATATAGTAGGAAGAAGGTAAACATGTAGTTCAAACGGGGAGATTCTGGAGTCCGTCGGGGCTCTAGCCAAAAGGGCCCCAGGCAGTCAGCACGTTCAGTCAACCAATCACCAGCCAGACAGAGACGTGAGTGAGCTGTGAATGGGCGTACCTCACGATAACCAATCACTGATTCAAAGTGTTTTTGTTTTAAATCATTTAACTTCACTCTCCAAGTTTCATTTTGTTTTTTCAATAGACAGAGTTAACAGTAGTACATTTATTCCAGTGCTCTATTCATTATACTTCAGAGCAACAGCCTGCATAAACAAAAAAGTTTGTCAATACATTTAGATGCACATTTGAAAAAAAAAGATAATTATATAGGTAGTTACAGTTACAGTTTTGTTTAATTGAATTATCTATAGATTAAAAAAAAATCTTGTATGTGCATGCTGTACTGAAAATAGTTGCCATCACTGCTTCTGACATAGGGCTCCATTAGGGGTTTTCTACTTCTATGTCATTGCAAAGGCTCCATTGATTGTTTAAGGGGGGAGGGAACCCCATGTTGAGACTTTACTGTGGAGTAAATTTTGTTTGTCTGAGGCCCAAAGCAGTTGTCTGCCTTGCCTGTTCAAAAGCTGTGCCTCTGAGTTCAAATTGTTGAAATTATATTAAGTCAGTGCATTTTGATTCTTGAAGATGTTTAATCACTCATCCAAAAGTTTTCTTTGATTCCCCTCACTGGAGGGGATTTCAAAACATTTTAGTCTCTTGTTTCATCTGAGTCATTAGGTCACATATAGCAGCTTTGGGAGTCATTGCAGTCAAATGAATTCAGTGAATATGTGTAAATGGATGTGAAACTGCCTGTGAAGAGGTATCATGATGGTAATGTAAAGCAGCTAGTAAGAGACTTCCCACCAGTAGGGACAAATTAACAAGTGGTGAATAGCAAATTGTCTGAGATGTTGTCTGAGATGAA